ACCCATCCTACAGCCCTTTAAGACTGAACATACACTATGACTGCATCTGGCTCGGCCTGACAGTTTCTCCAGTTGGCTCAGCAAAAGGGTAAAAAGAAAAAAAATTATATCGAACAACAAAAAGGAACAAACCCAAAGACATCAACTCTGTTCTTGGTCGTAGCACTGAATCTCACTGCAGTCATCATTCCTGGCAAAACTACACAGCAGCTTTTGTCTTCTTGCAGCAACGACAAACTTCCTGCTGCAGGCTGGAACAGGTCACCACTGCCTTTGTCTGCCCTGCGCTCCAAACCCTGTGAAATTCTAGATAACCGTGCCTAAGCTTTCATAGCTGTTGCTGCTCTGGTTCAAGTGTTATCCCCTGACTTGCTCTGATTTCTCTCCTCTCCCAGGGAGAGGTGAGCAGGGCTAGATAGGCACTACTGAGAGGAGCTGCACTCACTGAGGGACCAGTTTTCACCTCTTCCTCCTCAAAGCAGTGGTTATCATCCATGCCCATACACAACCCATCACTTGCAGCACCAGCGTCCCCGGAAGAGCCTCTCCAAATGTGAGCAAGCAGGCTCAGCCTGGAGCCCCCAAACCTAACTTGAGTGCTTCAGCAGCAAGCTCTGCCGCTAAACCCTCCTTCCTAAAGGCTCAGTGTTGACAGTATGGGAGAAGCCTGCCTCAATTCAAAAAAAAAAAAAAAAAAACCCACCAAAAACCAAACCAACTTCAAAATAAGCTCTTGAGTGTATCCTAGAACACAACTTTCAGAAGAAAGTTCATGTCGCAAATGATCAAAATGATACCATCTCTACAACGCACGTGGTGGTGAGACTGAATGCTTTGCTACCCAGATTCTAGGAAAAAAAAAAAAAACATAACAGATTACTATGGATTAAAAATAAAAGGCTTCAATACACACATCCCCCTCAGATGAGATCAAAGAGCTACAGAGGATAGTCAAAACCACAGACCATGACTGAGCGAGCACTAGAGATGAAGTTGTGTGAGATCAGCAGCCCAGAGTATCTTTGGAGACCTGAGGTAACAGGGATGCATGGCAGACAAAGGCCAGAAACATACTTATAAAATGGCAAAATTTCACTACTGTACATAGCTGTACAATTTCTGCTAAAAGGCAGCATTTTATTCCAAACCTGCCGGTACTAACACAGCACGAGCTCCTCACCAACACACCATTATGAAAAGCCTCTGGTATCACCACTCCTCTGCTGCTTCTGAGCCCCATTATCCCCACGATCTACAACCGGATCCAATAAGAGTTAATACGATGAGCAACATGAGACTGCTTAAAACAACCAGACAGTCACCAAGATAAAAGATCTCTGGAAAATATAAATGCTGTGTCTGGTTTAATCATGTGCCAGGACTGCTGATGGTGTTTGATGGTGTACAGTGTTTGCTCTGCAAACTGACAGCAGTGACTGGTAGCAACAGGCAGCCCAGTCGGCTGCTCCGCAGTGGGGTAAGAAACTAGATGGTATTCCTTGAATAAATGCAGGAATTGTACAAGGGGCTTTCACTGTCATCACCATTACATCTTTGTGACAAGTCAAGGAAGGCAAGATTTGACCTTACATAAATCTGTAGGCACAATGTGCTTTGCTGTCTGCATCAAACTCTCTTGTCCTGTCCACAGGCAAATCTATCCTAAATGTTAGGGGAGCCCACATAAGCAGGAAACAACCAGGGCAGGTACTGGAAACAGGAGACAATGTTTCCTCAGAGCTGATGCCCTGATCACAGCACGTCTTAAACACACAGCTCAAGTCTTCTGAGCACCATCAAACGAGTGCAGTTCCCAAGAGGAAACTCTATATTTCAGCTGCGGGCCCAGATACTAAGATTAAGGAGACACTTCTAAAGCCTCCAAACCCATTTATTTTCTTTATCTTTTCTGTTTCTACTCACTTCTGCACCTCTGCTCCTTCTCCTCTTAGTACCACATTCCACTTTATCACGTTTATGTTTGCCATCTCTTCCACCAAAACACAAATCCATTTAAAAAAAAAAATTAATCAGATTGAAACTTTTGCTTCATTTTCCTCCAGCAATATTGACGGAAGGTTACTAGCTTTACCACCACTGAAGGAGACTGGCAGCACCATCATACCCAGGTGGCTGGAGAAGGAACTGTCCAGCAGTGGAGCACCTCCCAGGAGACAGCGAGGCTCAGCTACACACCAATGTAAGAAAACCAGCAATGGTCCTGAACTTCTCAATTAATGGCCACTTGCAGCAGCTGTCCATTTTCTACTGAATATATCAGTCAAACCTCCAAAGGTTGTTTAAATTAAAATGAATGCAACTTTGGCAGATGACACCTGAGGTGCTGTGAGTATTGGAATTACTGTCTAGGTACACTAAAGATTTTCTTAACGAGAAATCATCAAACAGGTTCGGTTCCAATAGTGGCTAAGGGAGGGAAAGAAAGAAAAAGAATCAGAAAACTGTATCTCTCCTCTACTTCTCCATACCCACCACAAAACTAAACAAAGCATTTTAGAGTCCCAAAGCAGAAAAACCACATTTTCTCATGAATTACCGTAATTCTAGAAACTAGAACTGCAGTTCGGTAGCCTGCCTCGTACAAGATCGAGTTCTAAGCTACACATATCCTACAAACCTTCTGAAATCTGTTTATCTCAGTCATGCACTTATGAGGAAAGACAGACTATAATACTCAAATTCATTAGCAGCAATAAGAACAGTAGCTCCTGTCCTGAGAAAGGACCACAAATAGGAAAGGAGTCAAGCTCAAAACATTGAGACATCAATTGCAAAACAATTTCATTGTCCCTGTTGGTTTATTTGCAGCCTGCAACTCTGTCAGTGCTCAGTTTTAGTGGGGTCTCTTGAGATCACATCTCTCTCCTTGATTGCAGGCAGCCCAGAGCTGACATCCTCACATTACCTTATAAACAATAATAAAGTGAACAGGTTAAGGATGCAACTGCAAACAACCCAATTTGCCAAGGAGGTGAATTCATCTAGCATACAGTAAAAGAAAAGGAAGAAGGAAAGCCTAAGTGAAATACTTCATATATTTTAAGCCCACATCTTTTGTCACCCATTTCATCACAAAACTATGCAATCAAGGAGATTTCTGGTTAGAGTTTGGAGATCTTTTTGTTTGTTTGTTCTTCAGGGTTTTTACTTTACTAGCTGTTACTTAAGGATAGCAGCAAAAGATCATGACCCCATTTCTACTCCTCCAGAGTCCACAGGGCTCTCTTTGATGTTTCTAATGTCATGTAGCCTTGTGGATCAGATCACCTTTCCCATGAAAGCACAGGGATTGTCTTTCTCCACTACTTCGCATTCTCCCTTACATGAACAAACAACACTTCCTGCTATTCTTCCAACTGTGAAAAATAGCTGCTTATATCATATAGCAAGCCAGTAGCCTTGTTTGTTAGCCAGCTGTTTGGCTTTAAGTTGTTGGTATTTTTAAACATATTTAAATGTTTCTGTTGCCTGTGAAAGTCAAATTTCCCAGGAATTCTCCAGAAAAATAGTTCTTACCTTTGCATTCCCAACATCAGCTAGAAATGCTACAGTAAATAAAACAGTTACCTGGGCATACATTGCCCTTCAACAAATTCCATGCAGTAGCCAAAAACTACAACAGGATTAATGTGAAAGAAACCCCTTATTGTGTTAAGATAGAAAGAGACATGCTCCTTTTCATCTGAACTCAACACATTAAAGACTAACCAGATGTGCTCATTTGAGAAAGATCAGAATTAGTAAACTCACAGCCCCATTTTCTAAGTAATGGAAATCTCCTATGTCTACATTTTATTTAATGAGCTTTTCCACAGCAGAAAAAGGTTGTTTCGAAAACAAAAAAACACAAACATGGACAATATCTAGTCTCTTCACAGAGATCCACATAACTTAACAGGACATTGTTTCCTCCTTGGTGGTCCCTTTATTTATTTTATTTTCTCTCAACAGCCATGCACAAAATGTTGATCAAGTCAAAGGATGACTTTTATCTCCTGTTCTCACAGTTTTTAGGTACAAAGAAGCTTCTGGGAAAGGTTTATACATTTAGAGATGTCCGGACCTGCTGGATCCTCAAAACAAGACAGTGCCAAGTGATATCCACTGAATTTAGGTCATACTACGGGAACACGTCCTTCAGGAAGGAGGATATGCAACTCAGCCACGCAACCATATTACCTCATACTGTGCTTGTGAAACACACGTGGTTTAAAAGATAAATCTGCTTCCTATATAATTTTCAAAACCATTCTATACATTTCTCAGCTGGAAAAAAAGCTATTATACTTGTTTTGCAAACTGAACGGCACCTGGGTGACATTTCTTCAACAACACCTGCCAAGCAAAGATAACGACAGTCTTAGCAGACTCTGGACAAAGAGTTTGTCACAGGAAGAACAGACCCTCTCTAAGTCCCAGCATGTCTGGAGAGCACTCTCTGTATCCCTAGGACCATGACATGGGAAATGACGTTATCCCACTGCTATTTTCAAGCTCAGATGAAATGCAGGGTGCTCTTCAAACCCAAGAGCCCAATTGCTTCAGGACGGACCCCACATTATCCTGCCATTCCCATGCAGATTGCATCACCAGCCCCCTGCGCAGTCAGACCTTACACAAAGCTAAACACTAAACCCACCGCTCCTGCCAAAAAAAACTTGGCCTCCTTATTTTGAGTATAAAAAGTGTAGCAACAAACCAAGCCAAAAGAAGAAAGAAATTCCCCGCAAATGCACCTGATCAAAAGTAAATAAGATACACATTCCTGGCACCAGGTCTTGAAGGCCCAATGGTGCTTAGACAGACAAATCATGCCAAGCAAGAAGTTCTGAGCTTCCACCCAAAAAACTTCATCCACCTGTCACGAAAACAAAGAACATCTGAAGTCAAGCAGCACCACTTTAATTTGTTGAGTATTTTTTTTTTAAAGAGTGGAATTGCAGTGAGGCCAACGTAAGTAAGGACAGGAATGAACTGACCTTGACATACGCTAGGTAATGCTCGCACTTTTCCTGCATGTAGGACAGTTGTAACTTCTCTGTGATTTGTCCCACTGTCTCTCCAGAAGTCACAAAGTAAACTCTGGGTTGCTGGCTCTTTTCCTTCTTTGCCACATCAGCAGTCAAGTTATAATTCAAATCTGTTTTAAAAAGGAAGAAGAAGAAAACAAAGGATGTCAGTGAACAATAGTTACTTTTTAGCCACCTATCAATGGATCCTGTTGCCCCCGGGGAGTGTGTGCTTGAAGAAAGGTCAACCCTTGCAGGCCCTCAATCAATCACTAAGTTTCCTGTGGCTGCACAAAACCAAATCCACTTTACTGACGTATTCCCAGGTTTTCGTGTCGCTACATTCCCCAGCCCATCCTTTCCCATAGGAAATGATGTGTAAAAATATACACACGCTTAACAAAAAAAAAAAAACAAAACACAAAAAAAACCCAAAAGATGCTTAAACTACCTTGCTAACAGAAAAAGCAAAAACACAACACAACTAACAACAGCAGCCTCGAGCTTTGTTTTCCTTCTAGAACAGCCCAAACCATGCCAACAGACAACCACGATGTGGCATTTCCTGCCAATTACTTTTGTTGATTCGCAGTCATCTTAGCGTTTAGACCTTAACCAGAGGTCGATGCCTTGCACTCCGTATCCCCCTCTCACATGTTACACATCCCTGGCAGTTTATGGAAGACATACCCGGAGACTAATGAGCTGTATCTCTGTAAATCCTGTTTCCTACTGTTCCACAGGATAGGGAGCTTAAAACAACCAGTTGGTTTGCGACTTGAAGTATCTGTGTCCACAAGGAAACTTATTTGTTACCTGAAGTAGCTACACAGTGATTGAATAATCCCAGATCCCTACACCTTTCGTGTCGGTAAATGCAGGAACAGGAGCAACAAAACTGCAACAGAAGCACGGATGCTTGTTCTGCTGCTGTCCACAGAGAAGAGAAACGGTGGCTGTGAGGTCCTTTCACTCATCACAGTCCGCAGCCTGTACTGATTTCAGCTGCTATCAAGGCAATAATGGGAATTACCATGTGATGGGCTCACTCTAAACGGCTTAATTAGTTGATAATCTTCACAAACGACAGCCAGCACCAGCTCCTGGGCTGATTTGTTACATATGTAGGATACTTGCCAAATTATTGCTTTGTCTTTTATTTATGTTTTAAGTCCTAAATGATTGATGCCAGATAATATGCTCCCCATAAATGTAAACTTCTTTTAAGCCAGAATTTTATAAACAAGCAATGTAAATGTAACAGATTCCTGGACTGAGGTCTTCTAATACCAAGTTTCGGCAAGGGGTCTTTGCTGGGTTTTGCTGTGTTTTCTTTCTGTTTTGAGGTGGTGTTTATCAATGAAAATCCTAAGCTCTCTAAATGAACACTGCTGCCAATGCTATCACCTCCAATCATTTCTCCACCAAAATTTCACTACTTTGAAGCATTTATTTAATGATATTGTAAAACTTGATGCAAAAGTCTCTGTGAACACTCATAATGCACATAAATCAAACCGACTTCACTTTCATCTGCAGCGTGTTGCATTCTGACGAAAATCTCACTCCCAAATTCATGCAAAGCATCCAGAGACATACCGTAGGTAGTAAAAAAGGTCACAGCTGAGGAATCAGCTTATCATCACAGGGCTTCACCTGAACTTTTTTTGCTTGCTTTTGGCAGAATAACTTGCTTAGAAGGCTAATGCCTTCAAACTGACAAGCTCAGCACCAAAAACTCTCACTGTGTTCACTCAGGCTCAACTAAAGAACACCACCTAAAACAAAACCATGGAGTTTAGCCTGTTTAAAATCCTAGCAGTCTCTTTCTTAACTTTTTTTTTTTCTGTTTTAAAGTGCACATCCCACACCCTTCCCCAATTGTCTCCTTTCCACTTTCAAGACCTCACACGCACTCACGTGTGCTGAGAACCGGCATCCTAAGAATAAGGACAAGAAAACCTGTTAGCAAACCCAGGCCCTTCGTAGGCAGAGGTAAAAAGCCCTGCAGGGAGACACAGCCCTCTTCAAAGTAGGAGCACCAAAGAGAGCCGGGTCTGCAGAGGCGCCCCAGGAGGCTCCGTTCGTTACTGCTCACGCTAACGCCTTGGAGGTTCTCCGAAGGAGATGCACAACTCATTACTGACACTGAAGATTCCTTGCTGCAGGCGCAGAGACGCATCCCAACACGAGCCCCGTACCAGGCCTCCAAGCAGAGCAATCCCAGCTACTGTCTCTCCGAAAGAGCAGTGGATGTTTTCAATCAAGCAGCACAGTTCCCGTCCTCCCCACCACGCCTCCCCTTTATTTTGACAACTTGTTTCTATGTTATATCCAATGATGTCACATCAGTGGAAAAACTGAAATATCATGAGTAAGGCTTTTTTTCCCCCCCCTCAGCTTCATTGCTTCCAAAAAGCAACCAGGGTGGGGAGATAACTGGCCAAACTTAGCACTGCTGGTGGTGTAAGTTCCTCCTGCTCACTCCAGTAGGAGATCGGGAAGCAAGTTTTTGCTAGCAAATTAACTCTTGCAAGTAATGCCTTCAAATATTTGTCCAACAGCTTTGAGCATGTCTGATTAGAAATGTTTCTGGGGATCTGACCACCCAACTTCACATGATCAAAATAAAACTCCGGCATGGATTTGATGAGCTCAGATCAAGCGCATGATTTTTTTAACGACTCTTTCTTTTCCATAATTAAAGTTAAATGCCTAAAAACTTCAATAACGGCTCCCTCTGAGAAATTTTTGGTCATACCTGCAAGAGGACTGCCAGCCAGCAGATCAGGAGAGTTACTCCAGCCAGTAATAAATGCACTAAGTAAATGGCAGCAGGCATTTTATAATGGATTTTCATCTTAAGTGGCACATACGTACTCAAGATGTAAGAGAGGAGTAAGAAGGGATTGAAATCAGGCAACGGCATCCTGTGAGCTAAAACAGGAATCACAGCTGGCTGTGCTAATGGAGCAGTTACACACCCTGAGCCGCCTGGCACATCCCTCCATCGCCCATTCAGATGATGCTACAGCACACAAAAAGCAGGAGACAAAATGCTCAGCAGTAATAACCACATCCGTAAGTCCTTGTTAAACTACTAGCTATAGCACTGATTTGTGGTGGGGGCAGGGGAGGTGCCACATGGAGAAAATGAAGAACTTACTAAATAATAACAAAAAGCCATTGGAAGAGGAGTGTGTTTCTTTGCCTTCTCTACCAGTAATTACAAGGAGAAAATGATTCATGAACTTTGCTTGCAGAGAAAATTCTTAAGTAATGAAAGTATTAAAAAACTTGCCCTAGCGAATGACAACACAGGACATTCCCGCCATCCTCTTCCAAAAAAATCTTTCCTTTTCCCCTTACTTCAAACTTTGTTTCAAGCTCTTTCTCATAGAGTTGTCCCTAGCTTCCAAGCAGGGAGCCATCCTCACTGCTCCAGGCATACACTGAACAACACACCCCTACAGCATCCCTGCTTCGGAGGGTAGCGCTGACTTAGGCCCGCATCCAAGAGGACTGGAAAAATGAGAGACAGACAGAAATAATACTCCTGCACCAAAGGACAGCAGGATACACACAAGAGGAGTCTCTACTTTAGTCAGGCTTTGGATCAGGCATGTTTCTTCAGTGCTAGAAACGGATTCAAACAGAGTGAAAAGGTCAAGCAACCCATTATCCCACACTAAATCTCACATCTGTCTTCCAGGTAACAGTATCTGGGACATGAAGACTACCCTAGAAATGGACCGACACACAAGCAATGCACCCCTGAAGTGAACAGTACAAGAGAAACTTTGAAGAAGTTTCTGATGCATCTGCCTAACTCTTGCCCAAAACCCTTTATTTCACAGGCACTTAAAATTCAACTAATTCTTACAATGGCACTATTATTACTATTATTGTTGCTGTTGTTGTTGGATAAAGTATCCAGACTGTAGGCATAAGTTTATTTCCATTCTCCTGCAGAGATGAATGCAGTAACAGCACTTGATGCACAGAGATGCCAGCAGCCTCCGTTTTCTTGTCCTGGTCACCCAGAAGCACATGGTCTCAACAGGCTGACGCCTGCTCATCCACACTAGGAACGGCCTTTCTCCCATCCTTGCCTTTCCTGCAGATACAGAGACCCCAGGGGAGACAACGCAATAGCCCCTCAAGTGAGGGAGGAACAGCCTGAGTGAGATTCCGAGGTGAATAGGCTGCCCAGGGAGGTGGTTGAGTCCCCATCCCTGGATGTGTTTAAGAATAGGGTGGATGATCTACTTAGGGATATGGTTTAATGGGGATTAGGGACGGTTGGACTCGATGATCTCTAAGGTCTTTTCCAACCTAGAAATCTATGAATCTATGAATCTATGAAAGAGTGAAAACTGACAATGCCGTATTCTCACCCAACCAGGAGGTACCCGAGGCTCTCTCTGCCGGCGGGCGCACGACTAGACACGCTCAGCTCTCCAGCAAGCACGGAGGCAGAGCGAAGGGTCAGACAATGCCTGGCACACAGTGCAGAGCACATGCTTCACTCGGGCAGGGCTCTCTGTTCAGACAAAACCATTTCAGCAACCAATTTATACTTCTGCAGACCGTAGTCTGCAAACAGTATCTACAAAATGGATGGGAATTTTACCGTCGTTGCCAGTCTCAAGCAGCACCGATAAACACAGATCCTCAAATAGCTGTTATATGACCAGTAGTATTGCAACTACCACTAGAAAAAAAGAAAAAAAGAGAAAAAACAGGAGAGTGGGGAAGGTTTATATGCAAGTGTGCGGCAGTGTTCAATGAAGATCGTCTTCCTTCACATGCTAGTTAATGAAATAACCACACATTCAAGTAGGCATTGAAGACACACATTCGCCACAGAAGAATGCTGCTTGCATGTTCAACTTGACTTTCTAAACACTGTGAAGTAGGTGACCAAGTCCAGCTGCTCAAGAGCAACACCCAGCTTTTCACCAGTAAGCAGCAGTCTTGAGTGTCCGCGCTGACAAGCCTTAGAGGAGCGGCGTTCCCTGTGGACACTGTGTTCTCACCTTCTGACTTAACAAACCCCCTCCAGATATCCGAAGACGAGATGATCCCAACCCTTTTAGCCACAAAACTTTGACATAGCATTTTAACACCTCCGTATGCCTTTCAGATTCTGAACTGGACAAAAATGTACTTACAGGGATATTTATTCTGCCCCCCTCCCCCCCGCATTTAACCACGGAGGAGAGGAACCACTGCAATATTTCCACGAATTGTTCCACCCTTTGTTAATTGATACTCCTCAAATGCAACATAATTAAAATGGCCTGACTGTTAGGTTACAAACTGAAAGCTTATTTGAGATATTTTATCCAAATCATATCCCTGAGGAGTTTTACACAGTCAGAGACTTCTGGCTGCAGTGTTTTCAAGACAAATCACTTTGCTAGAAGCATTGTATAAAAGGACAATGGTTGGAATTTTTATAATCATCTACTTAATAGTAAAAAAATTCCTTGTAATGAGATGGATGTTACTTGCCAAAGAAGATGCACATGTGCTTTCACCACAGTGAATCATCGTGAGTACAGTTTGTATGGTAACACAGAGGAATTCAGCTGGCTCTTACAAGACATGATGAAGCAAGAAGATAGGTCTTTTGCAAACAAAGGAACAGATACTTAGATTGGAAAAAAAAAAGCAGCCCACTTCTTAGCCATAGGTCCAGAGAGATGAAATTCAAGCAAAGGAAACATTTTAAACAGTACTCCACGAAACATAAGGAAACATATTCAGAAAATCTATTCAGTGATTTTCAGAAGGGAATTAACACCCCTGGGGCACTCAGAGATAAATATTTCCTTAACTGACAGAGTAGCGTGTAGTACAAAAAAAACTTTATCAAAGCATGTGTTTGTCTGCTAAGAGTCATCATTCATGGTGAAGAAAAAACCGCAAAAATAGAAACGGAAGTCTCAGTTGCACCAATATGTTAGAACCCAGTGGAATCTTAAAATTTAGTAACTTCATTTTTTTGATCTGCTCAGGTGACAAAGTGACAAGCTGCAAAGAGCAACTCCAATTTTCAGCTTGTAGTTCTCACTCCATGTGAACGGCAGAAGTTAGCAAGAAGCTGCCTTCTTCTCTGACTCATTTACAATCCAAACACTGCAGCAGGCTCTGCATACTGGGATGCACAGCTGCAACCCTCTCCCTTCTGGATTAGCGGCTCAGAAAGGCTGGGGCACAGAGAGGAGGTGGCACTGCTTCCCCCAGCTCCTCACCAGACTCACTGCAGAGACACAACACGCCGTGAATCTGAGGGATCTTCCCTGAGCAGCACACTGCATGTCCTCTGCTATTCCTAAAGCACAGCAAAGGTAAAACATCATGGACCAACTAGATAAACCCAGACCTTCTATTCCACACCACTTCACACAATATCTAAGCTTGTAAACACTGGGATGTAAAAGACGTAAGTAATATTTTAATGCAGCCAAGACATGAAGGCTTGCACAATTACACATCTTACACAATTCCATTCAGCCAAGAAACTCCATGTGTTTTACACAGACTAACTAACCTGGAAGATATTCTTGCCATCAGTAAAACGCTGAGCTATTTACAATTATTTTACAGACAGGTAAACTGAGGCACAGAAAAGGACTTGGTCATGTTGGGTAGGAAACCAGATTTATAGTGCTCTGTTTCAAGAGCTCCTTGTAGACTTCCAATAACTATTAATCTGGAGAAAATTACATCTGCTATCTGATAACACTGATAGAGGACATGAATACAGAAATATGTTATTGTGAGGTAAACAGAATACGAACTTACAAAGCATCAATTGCTTCTGTGTTCTCTGTCGTTGCAGTAAGCCCAAAGACACATTTCTCTCCTTTCACTGAGGAAGAAACTGCCCCAGTATTATGTCAGCCTCATCAGATGGTAAAAACAAGCCCAAGAAAGTTCCCGGGGAGCCTCCAACTTTCTGGAACTGTATAGCCCAGCTCACCTTGAAACAACTTATTTCACATAAAAGCTCCGTTAACTGACTTCAAAGGGAGCCCTCGACTCCAGGTCAACCTGCTAGCAGGTACCTTACCTATTTCTCCAGGAACACGTTTGCCACTGAAGCGAAAGCATGCTGTGACGTTGAGGCAGTTCACCGGCTGCAAACCATCGTGGCATTGAGGAGCCGTGATATTGATGGACACAGGTAGGAAAATGGAGATGTCCATGGTGATGACAGGCCTGGATCTGGAGATCAACAGAGAAGTGGAATCTAGTGATCCTTCAGAGGGAGGTTTCTCAGCCAAAGGAAAACAAAGTAAATTTGGTAAAATGCACCATTTCAAGCAGACATGAAAAATAAGAGAGGACATTTGAACTGTAAGATAAATTCGCACTTGAGCTGACTGGTAAGGACTACCAGTGTCTGAATGAAAACCATAGCATCAGCTTGAAGTTCAGTGATTAGATACAGACTGCAGGCAGGCAGCTGGGGAAACTGATAATATATTAGAACAATAATGTAATTGAATATATTGTAACAATAATAATAATCTCCAGCCAAAGTTGCATAAAACCTTCCTGATGACTGAAGAGGATAACAAAATTGGCACATCAGCAACCAAGGACAACAAGCTCATGCAAGTGAGACTGCTTGCTAAGCAGCCTGGACAGTCACGAAAGGGCAGGCAGAGACCTTAGTTTTCCAGAGAATGGTCTACAGTCAAATTTGTGACCTGAAAGTCAGGGAGGGAGCACAGGGGTAGGAGATGGATCCATACATAATTTTTCTGACTGTATAAGAGGGACAACAGACACCATGTTCATGTTTTCTGGAGAAAACGTTTGGCTAATTCCCTCCCGGCAAGTTGCAAGGATTGAATACTCTTTTCACGCTGTTGACCTCTGTTTCAGGAGTCACCTGGTGCACCGTGAACAAAAGCTTTCTACCCTTGCAAATCCAACACTGGGTTATTGCTACAACTCTTCCCGGCTGAAGAAGACCTTGGCCAGAGTAGCAGAGCAAGCCGAGTGCCATCAGGGCCCAGGTGGGTCTCCCCTCTCACACAACACAGAAACCCCGCCGGCTTGGTTGGGAAAAGCTGCTCGGAAACTCAGGCTCTCCTGAGCCGTTCCCAGCACAGGACTTCAGCCCAAAAATTCACTGAGCGTTATGCTTCGTGGTTTCAATTCTGTACATGTTCAACATGAGCGTGTTCTTCCAAAACCAACTTCAGTAGCAAAAAAATGTGCAGCAACCAGCGGATTCACTTCTAATGTAGTCCCAGCAGCCGTGCAAAGCCAGAGCACGTAAGCAAACCACTTCAGGATTCTCACTCCACAAGCCACTTAATTTAGAGGCAGGGGAGACGAGGGAGAAGAGAGCGGGGATCGTGGTTACACCTAATTCATATTGACTGGAACAAGTTTCGCATCAATCTCCAAGACAGCTGCTCAGACTCTTTTACCACAGCCCAAAATAACAGTTTGAGTTCACCTTTTCAGATGAAGGATGAAGGTAAATGCTAACCATTGAAATATATAATACAGTAATGGGAGGGGAAAGTAGGAAAGAGAGCGAGCTTCCTAGGATCATTTCACACCTGGGAAAAACTCTCTTTCCAAATGCTTGAGGAAACACAAAAGAGTAAATAATATAACTGGTGTAGAAAAATATTTCTGCTAGAAAAAAAATATATTCTCCAGCCATGATGCACTGTGTGATTTTTCCTTAACATTAGCTCACTTGGTTATTCACTGGGGGGGAAAACAAAACAAAACAAAACAAACAATGCATCTGTCAAACAGCCATACACACACGCGAGTAGTACAACGACGATCCGCCCCAAGTCACCGCGGCTTCCACCAAAGCCTTTAATATCACTTGGCAAAACATTTGTTGGTTTTGGCCGGAGGACTTCACAAAGGCTTCTGGAGGGGTGAGGAAAAAAAAAAGAAAAGCTGATTTCTTTATCCTAATCTGAATCTAAACAGCAAGAGTGACACGCTCTAAATTGGCAGTAGCACCAATTAATCAGGCTGCCCACAAAGTCAGTCAGCACCGTGGTGCTAATCTCCTCCGAAACGCACAGGCAGTGACTGAACACATGGACAGAGGTCACCGTGCTGTTGTGATGTATGTCGTTTCAAACACCACAGCAAGCCTTTTAGATAGCCTTTCCTTCCCTGTAAGTAACAAAAATGCAGGAGAAAAATGCATAGGTTTCTTTCAAGGGGTTTCGGAGACACAAGGGTTCAAGATCCCATCTGGGGCATGGCATGCCTTTTCACAGAAGCAGCAATCTGCTTCCTCTGCATGTGTAATGAAGGACTAGAAAACTCTTCAGAAGGCTTGATCACCTGCCACATTGATCACCACACTTCTTTCCCCCTCTCGTTTTTGTTTTTGTTTTGTTTAATTGATTCAAATGGAAACGGAGCCAAATTTTTCCTGCCTAGAAGAGGAGTCAGGCTGGCGTGTCCGTTCTGCAGCTCCAGCGTTTGTCTTGCCAGTCACACCACATCCCTGTTTCTTCCATTAAGATGCAGGAGTCCCTAGTGACTTGTAGTTCTAACGACATCTAGGTATTTACAGGATTTTTCTATTAAATATTAACAAGTGTAACAACAGAGCTATTGGCAAAATTCAAACTTCCCGTTCTCTTACCCAGGTCTGTGCATCTCAAGCCTGCTCCTACTCTAAATCTCCACCTCCATAATTTGGTGAACCAAGCTGTCACACCTCTCTCCATCAGATGAAACAAGCAATTGCACTTAACTCCCACACTCAAAACAGCAGCCCAAATCCTGCGTGCATTGCAAATGTCTCCGTATTTCATTTCCCTGAAGACTCTTATTTCACTCTGTGTCCCATTATAACTTGCAAAATTACTGGCATCGTACGCAGCTGGCTTTTTGCACAACTGCGTTCCCTTAAATCATAATTTATTTACTTTATGCAAATGTAAGAACAATAAAAAAGCCTTCTCACAAGTTCAGAGCAACCTTTCTAAAAAGGCACCGAGATGCAACTTATCTCCTTCCAGCTCCAGCCCTTTGTTATCTTCATAGCCTTGGGAGTCCTACTTATTGTCACACCTCCCTATGCTGTTTAAATTACATTCTGAACTCTTTGACACCATCCATGTCTAAGGTTCTGCTTAAAAAGTAATCCAGCTTGCTGCTTCTGACCACAATAAACTAGGGAGAAAGTCAGCGTGGTGGAGCACTTAGGCCACATAAGATATTAACAGAAAACAGACACAAAAAGAAGACAACAGTGGATGAAAAAGACATCAATCTCACCTCAGAAGTACCACATTGTCTGACAAGAAGGCTCCAACGGTCATATCTGAAATTTTTATAACATTGAGACAGTTACAAAGGAGGCACAGAATTCAGTTCTCTCAAGGCAGCTGGTAAATTACAGAGCATATATCTCAAAAAAGCATTTTTCTGACTTAAATCAGCCAACTGGTCCCTTCGAATATCATTATGTCACAAGTATTATAAATGGAGAATTATGTCCGTGACTTTACTTCACTTCTACTTCATTGTTTGGGTTTTATTATTACTATTAAGTTATTGTCTAAATTTTTAAATTTTTTTTAAGTTTGTCATCATGACTGACAAGCTTCCAAAAAACTTCCGATCTTGGCCAGATACTGAAATCCTCTGCTTTAATATGTCAATCCTTTGTCACGATTACCCAAACACCTGAATCAAGCAATCTGCTCAAATTCTTATCAGGAGCTTCGAATAATGGAGAAGAAAGGGAAGAAAATGCTCAGCTTCATCTGCCTCCCGCAACAGCAGGAACCAGCAACCTTGAAACGACCAGCTCTGATGTTTTCTCAGTCTGCTGCTGCATTTCCCCAGTGCTCTCGCTGCCAGAATAGCGGACGTACCTGGATAACCATTGCCATCCATATCAACTCCCCCTGATATGGACTGGCCGAACATCCGCAGCATCGGGTTAATTGTCTGCCCAGACAGCTTCTGCAGTGGAAAACACACCAGTGAAATCAGTCAGGAACACAAAGAATCCTCAAAAACAACAACAACAAAAAAAACAAAACACACCACAAAACCAAAAAACCTTCAAGCCTGATTTTCCTGGTCACCGGGGCTCCATTCCATGGGCTGGGAGTGCTGCACACCTGCAGGCTCGCGCTTCACCCACGCAGCCCTGAGCAGGAAGGCTGCCGACTGCAGGAAGCCCTTCTGCTCTGGGCTAGGAGGAGGCCAGTGTTGGCTTGGATTAAAAAACACACCTGCGTTACAACCCTCATGCAGACCCAAGCAAAATAAAGAACATCAAACAGATTTCTTGGAGAGGGAGGAAATTTAACTGCACCCTCGAGATTTTTTTTTTTTTTTTGCATTACCTTCATTTCTGTAAATAAAAGTTTTAAGCAGCATCTTAAAAAAATTAATGATTAATTGAAAGAGAAAATCCTGCACAACCATTCCTTTTCACAAAGTTTGCCAGCATACTCAAAGTCAAAGTGATTAATTTTCATCCCACTTGGAAATTCTGGTTTCCATCAGCTATTATGCAGTATTTTGTGTCGGTTTGGAAGCTGTGTCTCATTTCTGCCTCCTCAATGCAAAAATTAACTAGTTTCTAACATATCTTTTTTTTTTTTTTGTAATTACTAACACAAAAACTTTCTCTGAACTGCTTGAATTGTCAATGCCTTTGTCTGAAGCAAATTAACATATCAAAATCTCACTTTCTAAGACAACAATCAGACATCTCCCAGCTCTCCTTCCTTACTCTGGGCCACCAATGGAAGATGTGAACTCAAACCAACATCTGACTGCAGAAGTTATAGACAGAGGAAATCTATCCCACAGAGGAATTTTGAGGGTGCTGGTGGTGCTTCACAGCTTGTGACATGCGATCAGCTTTTCCTGGCTCTCCCATAACATTGGACAAAAGGTTGGACGGGAAACGCATGGAAAAAAAGACAAGTTGAGGGGAAGAAAGATATCCTGCAGTCCTGACGGCCAGTTTAAAGGGAAACCAGTGCTCCACTGTATACAGATCTCCTTTTCCTACTCGTGGGCAGATAAGATTACGACAACTGGAAGAAACTTCCTCCCCACTTGCATCGCGTTTTTGGGAGGTCCCAGTCAGGGTGGTAAATCTTGCCTGCAAACATCCCAGTGGACATCTGCAGGCTATTACAGCCTAGAAGGCAGAGGTATTAACTCTGCTCTGCTTTTAAGTGCCATGAATGAAAGCAGCAGGCCACAACGCCAATTAAGCTGCTGCTTCTCACAGCCACCACTAAAGCTGCCGAAGGGATGTGCGGGAACGACACTGATCAGCAATCCAAGCGAAGGAAATGGGAAGGGAAGCTAACGAAATGAAAAGGGTGAAAAAACATATACCCTGCAGGCCCCCCTCCACCTCTCTCAGCTATTTAAAAAAGGAAATCCAGGGCATTAAGATGGCTCAGGGGTATCGTAATAAGACACAAAAAGTCTTTCACCTCTGGGTTCAAATCTAGGGCAGGTAGGTAAAGAGCTGAAGTTGATACACAGCTTTTTTTGGTAGCCCGCAGGAGATGAAGAGGTGGTGTGCCTAGTGCCCTGCAGCAGACACTGGGAAAGGGCACAGAGACGCTGACCGTAAGTGGTGCCTCCTTAGCTGACTCAG